GTCACTGCCAAGTGGGGCAGAAGGGATTTTTTTTTTTTTAAGGCTGCAGGAGCTCAGCAAAGCCCAGGAGCAGGTGCCTTTCCATGCCCTCCTGCTGAGAGCACCCATCGAGCGGCTCTTGCAAGCACCAACAAGTGTGGTGGTTTGCACAAGCACAGTCAACACAGCTAAATAACTCCATAAATAATGACTTGTTAATCATGGGAGACGTAGGATCCTGCTGTGGTGGGCATAATGCCAGGGGATGGGCAAAAATACAGTGGTCAGCCCACTTCAGCCCAGGACTTCATGCCCAGCGCAAATTAACGAAGAGAAGTTTGTTTGCTTTAGTGCAGAGCTGGAAGGGGACGCTGTCAGCATCCATGTGCAGTGTCTGCAAGCAGAGCCCTCTGTTTTTTTGCTGCAAGACGCTCTTTAAATTATCTCTATAGAGTTGTTTTTGATAGCGGTTAAAAAAAAAAAATGGGGAAAAGAAAAACGACATCCAAACCCTGAATTGTGCCATCTGGTATGAGCGCTTTTAATTTAAAGTAGAGCTTGTAGTTTCCTCTTTTTTTAATTGGGAAATGCAAAATTTGGGAAATCTTTAATTTTAGTAATAGATGGCTTGTGAAAGCTGAAGGGTAGTTATTGGCCCATTGCATATGGAGAAAAAAATATAGAGATATTTGTCCCAATCTCTGCCTCGTTCTTAGTCAATATGTGGTCACCTTTGATTTTTCTAAGGTGCACATCGCTGTCTGTGGTTTCTACTGAAGTCCTTTCACAATTTTTTCTTAACCTGTGTGGAAGAACCTTAGTTGTGAGATACTACATCTTAATCTTCGTTACTGAATTCCTAATTGCTAGGCAGTCAGTGCTATTGTATTGCCAGCATTGCGGGTTTTCTGCTGTGCCCTCCCTCTGGCTGCAGTCCTGTTGGAAGGATGTGCCTGGAAAAGTGCCCTTGACCTGGGAGCAATGAAAACTTCCCAGGGTCAGCTGTGAGTATTGCCATTCCTGAAATAACTCAGGAGCTTAAACCCCAATAATAATAAAGATGGATTTGCTGACTTCCAGCTTGCCATGAAGACTGTTGCAACCACCAAACAGCCCAGACTAAACTCGGGTAGTGAATTTTTAAGCTTTTTTTTTTTTTTTCTTAATTTAATGGAAGATTATCCTCTGTCCACACAGAGGTGGAACCCCTTCTGTGCAGACCAGCATCCCTTCCTGCTGCGATGGAGCAGCCGCTGAGCACATCGCCCAGAGTTTGCTGGGAGTGCCTTTGACTGTCACCAAGGGCTTTCAAACAGGGAAAAACTAAAACCCGCCTCTTCTAATTTAATGTTGGTTTTAATCTGAATCTGCAGCAGCAGCCTGCTAAAATCTAAATCAAATCAGGAGGTGGGGATTGAATTTATTAAGCTTCTGCTTAAGCTGTGTGGAGTAATACAGGAGGCTTTGAAAGCACCGGATCTCTTTTGTTTTATTGGGAATCTGGTTTAAAAAACCCCAAACTAGACAGATTTGTTTATTATTTTTTTTCTTGAGAGGCTGAGCATGTGGAGCTATTTCTGATTAATGCTAACACATCATGCAAAGATGTCCTTGAGGATTAAAGAAAAGCTTTTCTTTCTCCCCTCCTGCATGGAGACACTGGAGTATCGGGAGGTTAAATGATCTGCCCAGGGTTGTGTCTCCTGAGCCTGAAGTCAGGCTAATCCTCTGGTCCCAGTGCTTTGAGACAGACCCGCCTGCCCTTTCCCTTTGTAACAAGCTCCTCCAGAAAATCAAGAGGTTGTTGAAGCTAACGAAGCCAGGACTTGGCAGATAAAGTGGTATAATTATACGCGAGGTGAGATGACGGAAGCAGAGGCTCACAGAGATGCTCTCCTCCTGCCTGGGTGGGTGCCTGCCTGGGGGCATGGTTGTGGTGACCTGGTGGCTCTCATCTATATGAGTTTAAGTGACAAACGTCTGGCGTGCAGAGTTGCTTTGGAGGCAGCAGGTAGCAGAAGTTGGAGGCAGGGAAGGCAGACGACGTGAGCATGGTGCTCCAGTGTGCCCCCACCGTGGGCTGCCTCCAAGCCTCGGCGGGTTGTAATTAAAGTTTGCCTCGTAGAGATCTAAGAATGACAAAGTGCTTTTATTTCAGTGCTGTACGGTTTGACATACTTGGGATTTATGGGTGAAAAGGAAGGGTTGGATGCGGGTTTGTGTAGCAGCCTGCCCTGCCCGGAGGGTTTGCAGAGAGCACAGCAAGGAGGGGAGAACGGTGAAAAATTGCAAGAAAAAAATAACGGTCCCCTTTTTGCATGTGTGTGTGCATGCATGCACGAGAGGACAGCATCATAGCTGCTTGGGGAAGTACATTCATAACAGCCTAATTTAACAGCCTGCAGCTATTTAGCAGGATAGGAAGCGCTCAGTGTGGGGAGTGCTTGTGCTGGAGCAGCGATCACATTCGGGATCTCCCAGCCAGGGAATGAGTTACCCCCAGGGCTGCTGAGACCTTGCAAACACCTATGTCTTACTGCCTTCAGTACTGCGTGATCCCTTGCACCTGTGCAAGTACACACAGGGTCTTGGAAAATCTGTTTTATATTAAAATTCTGTAGTTTTGTGGTCAGGGTGGCTGATGGGATGTGAAATCTTCCACCACCAGCTTGTAAGTCCATCCCTGGCTGGTGGATGCTGAGAGCTGCTACCCTTCACCAGTGGCTCCCACATCTCACCAGGGCGCTGGATGGCTCCTGGCTGTGGTTGGCGATGAATTGCCAAGAGGGGCCGACGTGACCTCTTACTGTTGCTGGAGGTGGACCCAAATTTTGTCCACCAAAGCATGCACAAGCACCGCCGTGGTTTTTTGGGTTGCTTAGGGGTCAATGTGCCCCTCTCTGCATCCCTCTGTCCAGGCAGGTCCATGGCTCAGCCCACCCCCATGTGCAGGTGGAGAATTTGCATGACTCCAGCCAAGACCAGCAACATCTTGTTTTTGAGGCTGCCTTGAGCTGAGTACATCCTGATCCCTGGCTATTTCAGGCGTTTCTAGAGCGTGTTTGATCTCTCTTCTGCCAGGAGAGAGCTGGCACTGGATGAAACCATGGTGATCGGGATGAAAAGGCAGGCAAGGTGCTTTGCAGGAGGGATGAGAGCCACAATGGTCCGTAAAGCCCTTCCCATAGTGTCAGAGCCTGGAGAAACTGGGGCGAGGTGCAGGGGATGAGGAACGTAGAGTGGTGCATCGCCAGCTGCATCTACTCCTTCTTTCATGGTCCAGCCAAGGATGGGGTTCCTGGATCTCTTGCAAAGCCGCTTGCTGGAGGGGATGGGGAGATTGGGCTGGGGATCCTGAACCAGGCCCATCGCTGTGGCAGGGAAAGCACTGAAGGCTCATGGGGTGCTAGAGGTGGTGTGCTGAGAAAACTCTATTTATTTATTTTATTTTATTTTTTGCCCCTCCCTGATGAAACTGCTATGCTGGCCATACATTTGTGTAGCTCCATTACCATCCAAAGGTTCCCGCTGCTGTAGCTATTGAGCAGCTCTAAAAATAATTACACGTGATATGTATAAAAGCCTATTGCTCTTCAGCTGCAGAGCAGGCTGTTAGAGGGCTGCTGCTTTAACTCTTGGGTCACTCCGAGCGTTATTTGGCCATCGTGCGAGGGCCAAAACCATCTTTGGTGCTACGGTCCTGATGTGGCTTGGATTTGCTGCGGTTTCCCCCCACTCCTTGTGTTTTGTCTAAGAATAAGTTTATATAGCTCTTAGTTCAATCCACAGGAAGAGCTGAGGGGAGACATGCCCCCCAAAACCTGAATAAATGAGTGATCGTTGAAGGGTTCCTGTTGATTCTGTGTTGGCTGGCCGAGTCCAGCATCAGGATGGCTTGATGGGACTGCACCCAGCGAAAAAAGCTTGACTCAAGGTGACCTCCTGCAGAGATGGAGCAGTTTTGGGTCCTTTCTAGTTCTTAGAAACACGCCCTGGCAGCCCCATGAGTAGGAGAAGTGGTACCTGCTCCAGCAAGAGGTAGAGGGTGAGGGAAACCCGTGCATGGAGGTTGCAGTGTTACTGCTCGGTTTGCGGCGTGTTTGTCCCAGCTCCTGAGAGCAAGTACTGGAGGTTTCAGCACAGCAACAGTTACTTGCTTGGCATGAGGAGGGGGATGCTTTTTCTCAGCGTGGGCCGAGTATTTATCTCTGGATCATAAAAGCAAATTAAATCTCATTAGCAGGAGATGTTGTGGCCCCGAGTAACGCCGTAATCTCGTTATGTGTGAGCGGTGCTGCTCGCTCTTGGATTTTGTCCCTTCGTGGGCGCTTTGGCTGGGCTGTACGGACCCACCTTTGGGATCTCCTCTCGGAGGCGTAAGGGTGGCCCTAAATTCAGAGATGGTAAAAAGATCAAAAGTTGTATCTAAGTGTTTTTGTGGACCCTTGAAGCCTGTTTGCAGGTTCACCTCCAACTGGAGAAGTTGGCTTTGGTGTCTTGTAATTGCCTGCTTAGCACCGTGGCAGTGGGTTTGGGTTAGGGCTTGTTCTGTGGGGAGCAACCTGTCGTTGTTTTGTGCAAAAGAAATATGCTTTGGTGTACAGTCTGCTGGGGAGGAATTGCATTATTTCATAAAAGCTTCTAGAAGGCTGGGTTTTTTTGTGTGTGTGGTTGGTGTTTTGTTTTTTTTTCCCAGGGAAATCAAATTTCACATTTACCTTGAGTCTGTACCTCACTTTGTTAGATTGGTAACAAGTCAGTGTACACCTCCTCCAGGAGAAGCCTGATTGAAAGTCTGATTGAAAATCAGACTTCTGGTCTATAATTTACCCCAAAACTTAAAATTAGAATTATTTTCCTTTGACTGAAATAAAGGGTTCAGCTGCACTGACTTTACAATGACTGTGGGATTGTATCCATGGTGAATTAATTTATTTCTGATTTAATTTCCTGAGGTTTCCTTGTGTTTAAGCTTTTTCTTTCTTTCTTTCTTTTTTTTTTCCTCCCTGCTCCCTCTCCAGTACACTAGGGTTTGGATTCCTGACCCTGATGAAGTTTGGAGATCGGCGGAAATTATCAAGGATTACAAAGAGGGAGATAAAAGCCTCCATCTGAAACTTGAAGATGAAACTGTAAGCTTTTGAACATCGTTATTCTTTGCAGTAATTTAAAGCTTCGGGTTAATGTGTGAAGAAGCCTGAGCCATCTCATATTTTTTTAGGAAGTATTTTAAAATACGTGTTTTGTTGCCTTAGCACTTCCAGCTTTTCCCTGCTTGCTCCCTCCCCAGATACTTGTGTTAAAGTAGGTTGTGAGAAAAGCCCTTGACCTCTCTCGTCTCTTTTCATCCCCTGGCAAAGTTGTAATAGTCTGTGATAGCAGAATGAGGGTTTTTTCTTTTTTTTTTTTTTTTTTTTTTTTGATAGCAGCAGTGTGTTAGAAATACCAGTTTATGGTTCTTGCTGCTGAACAAATTGGAAAGAGCGTGGCTGGTGGAGTCTACTCAAACTTGGGCCCCGATGGAAAAATCACATAGAGCGCAGAAGTGACTGCTGTGCAAACAGCTTTCTCTGTGCCTTTGCCTTTCTCTTTAAGTATAATCTTCTGTAAAACCCTTTTTTTTCCCCCCTCCATTTTTAAAAAAATAAAAAAAGCTCTGAAAGACACAAATGAAAAACTCATTTAAATGTAGGTGGTTTTTAGTAAGTGCTGCTTTCAAATGCTCCCGCAGCCCAGACTCCCAGCGTGTGTGCAGCCGGCAATAAATCATTCCCAAAGCAGGATGGAGGCTGGGGAAGAGCAGCTGCTTTCTGTCCCGCACTAAAAGCTCATGGGGTGGGATGTCAGGTAACAGCGGGGGACTGCAGATGAAGTTAACCGTGGCATTTGCCTCAGGTGCAAAATTTGGGTGGTTTATGGGAAGGGAGCAGCCACGCTACATGCCCACCACAAAGTGCGTTTGCCGTGCATGGTGCCTGGAGTAACACAAAGAATAAATACATTTTTCATGAAGAATTCCACCTAAACCAGCTTTCTTCACTGAGCAGGTAGGGGTTCCTTAATTGTCTAGAGGGTGATTTGCTCTGCTGCTTAAAAGAATTAACAGAGGCCACTTTCTCCAAATTGAAAATGCTCAGAGGAGGGTGAGTAATTCACGCCCCCCTGCCAGGCAACCATTTCCCTACTGCGGGAAGTATTTTCACCGTATTACTTAATGGGAAGATAGAGAACAAGAATGAGACATGCTTGATTAGGCTGTTCATCAAAACAATTCTTCTTGCAGAGCAACGTGAGCACGGGCTGTTTGCAGTGTGAGGCTTGCCAAGAAAGTCATTCGTGTCGAAATCTGTGCCCGGTGCACTTTGGCTTGTGCATGAAGCTGTTGGTTCTGCTGCGATCAACCCTGGCTGAGCTTGTCCTCCCCAGTTTGCTCTTCCAGCATAGGGCAGATCTTTGAGGAGAGTGAAGGATGGGTGATGCTCCTCTTAGGTGTTTTTTCCCTCTGTGGTGATACAGCTGGATGAGGAGATGAACAGATGCCACCTCACTGTCCCTTGGAAGCACCAGGCATGTTCCTGTAGGACCCTGAGTCACCCTGTCCTTTGCTGCTTGGTGGGCTCCCTGCCCAACAGCCCTGTGGTTGGACCTCCTGCGTTTACTGTCCTGTGTCTATCAGTCTTTATTCCAAGTTATACCAATCATCCTTGGGGCATATCTTTTCTCTAAAGACGTGATGCTTTGTCCTCATGGTGCTCGCAATGGGTGTGTTTCCACCATTCCAGTCATTCCATGCAGCAACTTGTCCCTGCCTCCCAGTGGCGTCGGATGCCACAGGGATGACCCTCGTTGCGGGCTTTTTACATACTTTTTCGTCCTGCTTCTGAGGTGAGAAGATAGAAACCTCGGAGAAACCGAGCAGCAATGCTCAAGGCTTTGCAAGAAACTGGTGACAAGCACGACGGGCTTCAACTCTGGGGCAGGTTTCATGAGCAGTGCTAACAGGTCCCCTTTTGGGGGTGCCCAGCACAGATGGGTGCCTGGGTGCAGGTGGACAGGCACCCATCTCATCCACAGCAACTCCTTCCTACCGCCTGTTGTGCTTAGGCTGCCGAAATACATCTGCATGTATTGCTGAGTGCTGCAACCTCCATCCGTCTTTTCAAGCCGTTTCAGTACTTGGGGGGGATTTATTTATTTTTTTTTTTTAAATCTCTTTAATCTGGATATTTCCTTGGAAACCAAAGGGTCTAAGAAGTCCTGCAAGCCTTTTTGTACAGCTGAGTTTAGGGTCAGCAACGTTAAAGTACAAAGAGATTAAAGGATTACTAGGTGTTGTAGATGGTAGCTTAATAAGCATGTTGCTGTCACGGAGAAACACAGGAACATCTCATTTTGGGGTTTTGTGAGAGACCACAGTGCCCAGAGACCCCGCTTTGATGCCTTTCTGTATGAAACCCTGTCTGGACCCAAATCACGCTGGGCTGAAACGCTTTAGGGAAGGGGAACAGTGCACGTGTGCGTCAGATAGAGATACCCAGCAAACATATCTTCAGGGGATGCGAAGCTGTTGAAAGCCTTTTGTTCCTGACAGCCAACATGCATTACCCAACTGTTTAGTGCTTCTCTTTTGTCCTTGTGCTTTAAGTGAATTTTCATGGATTTCTGTGGTTTCTGGCTGTACTCTGTATGCAAGAGTACTCCTTCTGAATGAAGAGCTGATTTTTAAATCTTACAAGGGATCCCTGGTGTGTTTGCCATTAAGATGTGAGACTGAGTGCAGACTCTTGAAAATGGGCATTGGCAACGTGGAATTGGAGTATGAAACAAGCCTGAGGTGGTCAGACGTGCTGTGTGAGCCTGTCCTTGTACGCTTGGGTCAGCTTTTCTTGTGCTGTTTGCACGGGCAGCGATCCAGTGCCAATGCAATGTTAGTGGTGCCTTTTTGCTTGCAAACAGGGATTCTTCGCTCCTGTTGGGAGCTGGGGATCGAGACCCCTTCCTGAGACACCCTGTGGGAAGCAGTATCAGAGGCAATTCTTTTTCCTTCACTGTAAAGGAAAATAATTATGCTTTTTCTTTTTTGGTGGCTCTGCTGTTCATTTGGGGATGAGTCAAATATAGTTAGCATATGGGCAGCCGTATGCTTCAACAGCGTAACCTGGCTCTTCAGATACTGAAGCAGCGGGGTCTCTGTGCTTCTCTGTGTCCTTCTCTGCCTGAAGGGGTGTAAGATTTTGAGTATAAAAGCAACTCGAATTAAAAATGAGCTGAGAAATCACTCTGATGGGAAGAATATGGTCTAATTTGAAAGGAGGCTGCTTTTCAAAGAGCATGAAGATGCTTAGATCAGATGAAGCTATGGTTTTCTGTATGGTGCCTGTTACTGCTCAGAGCTGGCTAAAGGCTATTTGCCTCAAGGCTGGCCCGGAAACAACTCGGGCACGCTCAGGTTAGTGCATCAGTGACCACCAAGCCCATCTGTTGGCCAGCTCAAAGCCAGTTACCGAGGGCCATTTACCTGTCACCTGGTAGTGTGTCATCCAGGTCCCTGTAGCAATTAGCAGAAAGGGGCTTTCATGTCATTTTGCACAGGATGTGTGAGTGATTTACAGAATCAGGATGGAGTTACGCTTGGCTAAGTTGTAAGACATTAAAGGAGCTGTTATTTTGTGCTCTCATGTTCCCCGTATGTGTCTCTTCAGCTGTATGAGTATCCTGTTGACCTCCAAGGAAATGAACTGCCTTTCCTGCGCAATCCAGATATCCTGGTGGGAGAGAATGACCTGACAGCCCTGAGCTACCTGCATGAGCCCGCGGTCCTCCACAACCTCAAAGTCAGGTTCCTCGAGTCCAACCACATCTACACATACTGTGGTGAGTGTCCAGGCCACGCGTTCGGCTCCGGGAAAGCGGTGGCTTAGGGCATGTCCACATAGAAACCCCTTGAGAACACGAGCTGGAGGCTGTGGCATGAGGAATGGCCGGAGGCTTTGAGTTTGGGGCATGTGGGAGACATGAGAGCGTGCCAACAAGCTTTAGGTTGCAAAACCAGAGGTGGTTTTTGAGGGCTGGTGTCCTGTGAACTTGCCGAGCTTGTGGTCCTCTGAGTGGAAACACCTCGTGTCGCTGTCCACTCGGTGGACTCGTGATGGTTTGTTTGCTGTGGTCTCGAAGTGCAAAATTAAGGTGACCACACCAAAGGGGTTTGCTAAAATCAAACAGTGAACTGTTATTGTTTGCCCGTAAAGCGGTGTGCGATAGGTAAAGAGGGTGAAAGGAAAGGGGAAATAAAGTGAAAAGAGGAAAGAGGTCAAGGGTCCAAGGCGTCCCGATGGTCCCAGGTCCAGGCAGCGTCCTGCCGGTCCTAACTATCATTGTGATCCTTGGTGGGGGAAGCTTTGGGTGCTGAGGAGCCCCTTTTTGTGCCCAGTAGCACCCCTTGCTCCTCCTCCGTATCTCCTCCTCTTGGCTCCATCGATGCTGATCAACCTCTTTCGATAACAGTTCTCAGGCTTGTCCCTGGCACTGGAGAACAGCACAGCCCTCGTTAGCCAAAAGAGAGCCCTCCCCTCGTTAGCCAAAAGAGAGCCCTCGTTAGCCAGAAGAGAGCCCTCGTTAGCCAGAAGAGAGCCCTCGTTAGCCAAAAGAGAGCCCTCGTTAGCCAAAAGAGAGCCCTCCTTCGGCTTTTCTCTCCCCCCCCAAGGTTTCTAGAAGGGAGAAGCAGACAGCAGCATCTCCATCCTTCTGCTCTTTCCTGCCAGATGAACAAGTTGCTCAGCTCGGTCCTTGCTCTGCCCAGGGCACAACGACCTCACCAGCCTGGCATTCCCTTCCCAGGATCAGCAGCTGCTGCTCAGGCAGGCCCTGCAGGTTCATGTCAAGGTGTTAGCCTGACCTTCAGAGTCCATACTCCTGATGACGAGGTTGAGACAATGCTGTTTTCGGACCGACTCTTACACCTCATCAGAGAAGTCTGAGGCCAACTTTGCCAGTGGGCTTGGTGGTGTGAGGGGAAAAAAAGTAGGACCTAGCAAACCACAGGAGAACAGCAGTGTGCCAGAAAGATGTGATCCAACTGAGAAATGCCCGTTGTAGGTTCTCCTCCTGAAAGAGAGAAAAACTGCTGTAATGGGTTTATAACAGGGACCAGATCTGTGGGATTTGGTGTCCCAGAAAATTGCATGATTTATCCAGTCATGAGAGGCAAAACCTGTAGTAACATTACGGAAGAGCAGACAATAAAGGTCTGCTGTTAGCATTGTTGCCAAGCATTTATTTTTATTTTCTGCAAGAGAAACTCCTTTCTGAAGAAGTTTCCATCCAGCATTTTAGTGATGTCCAAAGAAGATGGGTATCGGTGACAGCGGTCGGCTGTGCGTGGGGGAAGGATTGCAAAAAACCGTTGCCACGCTGTTTCCCACCTTTTCTTGGTGGCTTTGGGGTCATTTAACTCTTAAATTGAAAGCAGGAGGAGGGCAGGTATGAATTTGGATTTGTCATTCCTAGGGAGGGTGACCTGCCAAAACCATTCCAGTCAGCAGTTACCTGTGAATGGGTGCCAGCAGACTGCAGCCCGAAATGAAAGGAAGAAGGCAAATCAGCCATTTTTATTCGGTTGCGTTGGAGAATGTCGAATGTTGAACCCTCTTGCTGGCACTTTGCTAGCAGTGGTGCAGACTAACGATTCTCTAAGTGATGGGCTGCAAGATTTTGGCGAGAAGGGTGGGGACTTTGTGTGGCAGGGTTAAGGCTGGTGCGTACAGCTAAGATTAAGTGGTGCAGCTTTTGCAGAGGAGACGCTTCTTTAGAGTAACGCTCTTGAAATACGTGGCCTTGGCAGCTGGTAATAGCGGTGACTTTTCCTTTAAATTTGTAGGGATGTGGAACGTTAAGACTACTGGCATAACTTGCAGCCTTTTGCAGCTGCATGTGTGTCATGCAGTCAGCTGCAAGGCTGCTTTCATCCAAAATCAGTGAGGTCTCATTTGTGCAGCTGCTCGTGAAGGTTTATGACAATCTTTGAGCACAAGTCGTGTTAATGAAGATACATGGGTTTGGGCTTAGCAAGTGTAGGTTTAGCTACAGAGCTCTGCATGGGTCTGACATACCTTGTGCTTTGGTTATAAAGTAGTCGAGAAAAGGGAGAGAAGTGCTTATTTGGCAGCCAGTGCTGGGGCAACCGCTGCCCTTCAGCTCGATGTGTGTCGTGCAGGCGTGTTTTTGGTGACTAAGGGAATTAGCAAGTGTAGGTTTAGCTACAGAGCTCTGCATGGGTCTGACATACCTTGTGCTTTGGTTATAAAGTAGTCGAGAAAAGGGAGAGAAGTGCTTATTTGGCAGCCAGTGCTGGGGCAACCGCTGCCCTTCAGCTCGATGTGTGTCGTGCAGGCGTGTTTTTGGTGACTAAGGGAAAAATGCGTGACCCTAAAGGAACCAAGGAGCAGACAGGAGCAGGGCACGGCGAGGTGAAGCTGTTAGGTTGATATCCCGTGGAGGCAAGTAACGCGACATGCCTGACCTTTGCCTTCCGTGGCGGGTTGGGGCACGTATCCTGGTGTTTGCTGCAGGCTGCGAGAGAGTTCCTGTGCTTTGCTGTAATTTGGAGCGTGCCTGAGCCCCGAATCGGCTGGGCTGGGAGCACAGCACGTGCTCCCACCAGCCACGTGCTCTCCGGAGTTCCTTACAAGAACGGTTGAAACCTGCAAAACATGGAGGTACTTTAGAGGTGGGACTTGAGTGCTTCAGGTGTGGACCAGGTCCCTTGAGCACAGAGGTAGCACCACACGTGGCTTTGCCTCTCGTTAATTCCTGGGCTCACTGCCTCCTCCGGGCAGGCGTGGTGTTCCTAGAGCTGGAGAGGAAAGAGCTGTTAAAGCTTTAATGCAGGCTCTGGCATTCCTTTCCTGTGATTTATGCATTTTGTTTTGATTTGAGTGCATTCTTTGTTATGAGCTTTTACTCGGAATTTAAGCCAGGGGAAAATCCGGGATATTTGTTTGGGTCTAAGCAGAGCTTTGGTTGCATAGGAATTGCTTTTCTGAAGTGGTGGCTCAGGCACTGTTCAGCTCTTCTTCTCACTCCTCCTGCAAAGTCTGGCTTTGCACAATGAAGATTATTATATATTTGCTCTTCTCACCAGTTTCATATGCTTCCTCTGTAGCTGTACAGGAGCTTAGTGCCTTGCTGTCAAAGCTTAGCACTTTGAAGGAGATGCTGAGATAAGAATTAGGAGTCCTTCCCCATTCCCCATTCCCTTCTCATCCCTTTTTTTTTTTTCCTCCAAACACCACATTTTAAAATAATGATCAAAACAACTGACGCAAGCCCTGAAAAGCCTGAAGTATTAACTCTGTGCTTGGTTTGTAACGTATCTGTCTTATTTCTCTGTTCGAAGGTATTGTACTTGTTGCCATCAATCCATATGAGCAGCTGCCAATCTACGAACAAGATGTCATCTACGCCTACAGTGGCCAAAACATGGGGGATATGGATCCGCACATCTTTGCGGTGGCCCAGGAAGCCTATAAGCAGATGGCCAGGTGAGTGGGCGCTCGGTCAACGGGGCTGGATCGAACGGTTGGATCAAAAGTGGGCAAATACGCACTTCACTGTTGCAAGTATGCCGCTGAAGTGAAGTTGTGGAAAAGAGCGTGAGAATTTCAGATTTTCATCTCTGCTGAGAATATGGGGTCTTCTGTTGTGCTTTTATATCCTCAAGTTGGTACAGTATCTGCCCATCACAGTGCCCGTCTTCACCCAGGGGTGCTGTAGCTCTGTCCCTCTTCTGTGAGGTGCAAGACCTTGTTCCTGCAGCAGCCTCCCTTGCACGGTGCAGGACTGCTTCACACTGAAATCTCTTTGAGGTCAAGTATTTCTAAATAATTCTGCTTAGCAATGTGACCCCGTTATTGACTGCTGGGCAGGCTGGGCTGGTGGGGATCTCTGTGATCCTCAGGAACTCCCTGGTTCAGTGCAGGGAGCCTTCTCCTGTTGCTGCTTGGATGAGTTTCCTGGAAGAAATTCAAACCGCTCTGCAAATACCGTGTTTAATAGCTGGGAGGAAACTGCGTTTCAGATAATTTAGTGAGATAGTCAGACTAAACCCAGAAGCTAATGTTAGTCGTTTTATGGAGATGCTGTAATTTTGAGTTAGGAGGTGACTGGCAGATATTTAGAGATATTTATGGGTCCTTTGGAGATATTTATGGGTCCTTCAAAGCAGTGTCTTCGCCAGATGAACGTGGTGTGAGTTTTATTTTATTTATTCCTGTGTTTGTTGTGTAGCTGAGGACAGATGCAGGGTTTGGTCTTGCCGGATCAGGCCTGATCTAAAAGAGAATTTGAGAGGAAGTTGAAAGTTGTTGCACCAGGGATCATTGTCTGGACTCGCACGGTGTGTTTAGATTTGCTCGTCGATTTAGCTGTGGTTTTTACACAACCCTGGCTTGTAATAGCGAGAGTAAGCACTGAACCATTTACCAAGGATTGCAGCCTGTTTTCTGCTGTGTCTTGGCTTTAAGTAAGGAGTTAGGATGCATTTCTAATGAAAGATGAATCAGAGTTCAATCCAGAAATGCATCAGGAGGAGCACTGCCATGAGCAGAGGTCGGATGGATTGTACCCAAACTGACTCCAGCCTGCAGTGCAGACCTCCTGCACGTGCTTGTGCTTTGGGCAAAACCACTTTGAGAAGAATTTAGAAATTTGGGGAGCTGCCTATAGAAAGAGGAAGGCTTAGGACTGTGAATCGAGGCTGAGCAGCAAGCTGCACGGTTCTTTTTGGAAGATGTCAGGGTTTTGCTGACCAACACGGGTGAGACCCATGGATTTTTCCTGTCTAAAATATAAGGCAACGACTTGCTTTTCTGCTGAAGTCTGTGCTAGGGAAGACTTGATGGTTTCCCACATCCCTGTGTAATTTTGCCGGCAGTGGGCTACCAGACAGCTCTACGCAGAGATGCTCGCCTCTGCTCGCCTCCTTATCAGAGTATGTCTGCTTTTGACAGCCGCCTATAATTGATAACTGCTGTCTGTGGATTGTTGGGAGTGCTCTGTTTGCAAGGGGACATAGAAATAACCACCTTCAAAGCTCTTAAACAAGACGCTCGCTGTTCAGCGCTGCTCTGGTGCTTTCCGTCTTGGGCTGGTATTACGGTAATTGCAGGCTTGGAGACAAAAGAGGGATTCAAATGGGGCTGAGAGGAGATTGGAACGTGGATTATAGGAATCTGCCTGGTTTTCTGAAATGTGCCTTAAAATGTAGCACACTGTATTTTAAACCTGAAAGCTTCTGGGTGGATGTCGTGTTCTCCGCAGTTTGATCCAGGCTTTTCCCTCTGCAGTGCTGTGGGGAGAGTGGTGGAGCTCCTTAAGCAGGGCGCGTGGATGGCGCGTCTCATGGGTGATGGATGGTAGTGCATTGGACAGGACTTCTTTTTGCCTTTTTTTGAAGTGATTTACTGACTTTGTGAGATGCCACATATCTGCAGCGCTGCTTTAGGCAGTGGGGGTGCACGTGAGCGTGGTGGGACACGGGTACTTGGGCAGCTCAGCCGTCAGGATGGAGGTCTGTGAGTGTGTTAAGCCTCAACTGGTGCAAAACCATCACTTGGTTTGCAGTGGTTTAGCTTTTAAACCATAGCATTATGTCTGGTGCATCCTATAGACCTGGGATAAAACTCAAATCCGCGATGTCAGTAGGTCAAACTTGGAGTGTGACCGAGAGCAGGAAAACAGTCTCTGGCTAGCCTTCTGGGTTTGTTTCTTTGTTTAGCTATAGAAGTCTGTGCTTGTATATGCATATATAAGCTTTCATAGTTTTTAAAAACAGGAATTTTTCATTCTAAAAACAAATCAAACGCAAATCACATCATAGAAAAGCGAGAATAATAATGCAGATGTGCATTCTGTTTGAATTTCTTTGGTTTTCTTTCCACAAAAGTGTCTTCAGTGTAAGAAAGAAAATCAAAGCGGTAAAACAAGCCTTCTCCATGGAAGACCTCTTGGAAACAGCTGATGTTATTTGCAACATCACAAAGCAAAAAGTTGTTGAGTAAATAACTTGCTGGAGCCACCGAGCAGTCGTTGCTGTGTGAGCTGGTCTGGTGTTCGGTGGTGTCATCTCCACGTTTTGCGATGAGTGGCGGCTTGATTTTCATGTCCGTGGGGTAGTATTCCTGCAGTTCGCGTGGCAGAGCAGAGCTTTGTTAGCTGACTCTTGGTAAACTGCTTCCTTGAGATCAGGCGCTGCACTGGGGCAATAAACCCTTCAAAAGAAGCATTGCTGAAGCGGCGCTCAGGTCTTCTTTGGGGCCGCAGGCAAAGAGCACAAACGTGGAGCGAGTGTGTGAGCGGGCTGATAGTGCCAGCTTCTGCCTTGCTGCGGGGTTTCAAGTTGCAGCGGCCCTCCGAGGGCAAACTTCGTCCTGTTCCTGAAGACCTGGATAAGGAAGGCTGCAAGGTGTTTTTATAGGACAAACAGAGCGAGGATGTAATCAGGAACCATGAAGTCACCTTGAATAGCTCTCCTCCAGTGCAGAAGGCAAGGTCATAAATACACACACTGATATAATTTATTATATTATATAAAATAGATACAATGCATAATATCTGTATGTAGTAAATAAATATCTATGTATATTTTAGCTTTATTAGTAGCTCAGAGCACACTGGGAAGATGCAGTGGAGGTGACTGAGGATTGAGCAGATGGCAAGGAAAAAAGGCACAAAAATCTAACATCCTCTGTTAAATGAGAAAAGTTGGAGGCAATTAGATTTTTAATTCCCTGGGCTTCTAGTATACCATTACCATGTAGAGGCAGGGCGCCAGGGCAGAACTTGAAGACATTTGCTGGTGTACAAGTGTCAGGGAAGTTGTCCTGTGCTTTCTCACCTGCCTCAAGCTGATAGTGTCCATGAGGTGGGACTGGAGGTGCCTTCGCAGGTGCCTGTAAAGCTCTGCTGGATCTGGTGTCTGGTGTTGTCTTGTCATCAGGAAATGACAATTTAAATTAAAAAAAAAAAAGCTGTGGGTGAGCTGGACAAGGGGCTGCAGTGATTTGGGCATGTGTTCAAACTCCCCTTGAAATGAAGGCTTTTCCCAAAGAGGATGAGAGTTGCTTTGTGGCACTTGCATGTGAAACAGCTTAAAAAAAGGCAAGTAATTAAAATTCATAGGTGACAGCCTCTCGTTTTTACAGTGACCAGCTCTTTAGAAACTTCCTGCATACCCAGTGTGAGGCTAAGTGCACTCAGTTCATTGAAACAGTATTGTTTCACGAAAAATACACAGCATGGAGTTAATTTGCCCCAAGTGCTGCTACCAGAGGTGGTGGAGTCAAATGTTGGGGTGGTGGAAAGATGGATCGTTAAGTGACTGCTGATAGCTGAGGCTGTGGGATTCGAAGCAATTTGTGCTTTGGGACGCAGGTTATCTGCGGGGCAATGCAACCATCTCCTCCTCTGGTCTCAATTTCTGTCCTCCTGATACTACCTGGAGAGGTGCATGGGGTGTTGATGCTCCTGAAAGTGGACTAAAAGCTTTGGGGGAACATCCAGGATTTCCCAGAGAGCCAGCACAGCCATCAGTGCCCTGGCTGATTGCTTCTTGCTTTTCTTGTAGAGGAACAAAAGATCCCTTGTGTGCCCAAATCCCGGCGGTGGCTCTGATTTCCTTGTGTGTCACCACTCTGGGCAGAAGCCTGGAGTCTAGCAAAAATTCCCCTTGAAATTTTATTTCTGCTGAAGTCAGCCTGACCAGCAGCTTTCCACGCATGAGCACGGATTGTTTCTGCCTTCTTGTCCTGACCCACGTTCCTCTTGGTGAACATGGCCCACCAGTTGGTGCCAGCTCCATGGAGGTGACCGAAGTTTGCACGGTGTGCAACACCAGCTTCCCATTCCCAACCTTTGGGGGCTTTAGATATTTCCCTTCGTGTCTGCAGCCCCATGGTTCTTCTCCCCAGCTATCTTTGGCCCCTATCTCGTGTTAATCATGTGTGATAATCACATGTTATGCTTAATAAAATTAAGCAAAATTAAACAGCACGAGGTGACAGAGGTGTGTGGTGTGAATAGCATTGCTGTGGGCGATGGGCCGGGAGAATGGGCCCTCCAAAGGCTGTCAAACATCTTTCAAAAATGGGGAGCAGGTAGCGAAGGCGGTTTTTGCTCACATCATAAATCAAAGGTGAATCCCTTGCTGTGTATTCTTTGTGTTTTCCAGTTAGCACATCTGGATCTCACCATGATAGCAACGTCATTATATCACATATGTGGAGCTCTTAACTGCCATGATGTGGCAGCTAATATATGCAAAAAAAGTGCAATGTTTAAATCTTACAGTGAAAAAGACCTTGAGTGAAAAAGGACTTGCAAAAGTGTGTGGACTGGGTGAAGGTCTTTATTACCCGTGCAACCATCAGGCTGATGCTTTCACAGATGGCATGATGTCGGCAATGCTGTTGCATGTGGTCAGACAAAAATATCTTGACAGGATCTGTGTATAACTCTGCTGAATTGGAAATGCAGAGCATTTTCA